TCTCCAATTATTCTTACCTCTGCCTTCCTCCCTCCCTGTTGGTTGGAGTAAGGGGGAGTCAGGTTTAGCCTAAAGTGGCTCAGTTATGGTTGAGGTGCAAACACACCCTCCATTTCTGGTACCTGTATGACCCCTTCTCTTCCAATGGTTATAATCAATCTGACAGAGAGAGGTACCCCAATCCTTGTGGTTTTTAGTATAACAATGGCCACCAGTGGGTTCCAGATGGACAACCTTTATCAGTTTATTATTTTACTTTGTACCCCTACACATAGCCCGTTCTAAAATGGCCAAACTCTAACGATCAGTAGTTTATTCTAACCTCCCGAACAACCCTATACCATTCCAAATCCTTTGCGAAGTACCTTGAGATGACATGTGTTGTGAATTAGCGCTACATAAATAAAACTGAGTTGTACTGAATTGAAAATGGCTATAGAGAATAAAACATTATTTCAATTAAGTTTATTAAACAAAAGTAATTTCTGGGGTTTTTACTTTGTGAAACAACTACAGTTGTTATTATAGTCAATAGTATTTTAGTTAAATTACAGGTCAACCCACTAAAGTTAGAATTGGACTACGATGGTTTGAAGAACATTTTGTTAAAGTAAGTTGTCTGTAAGATTATGAGGTAAGAAATTTATTCCAGCTCAACATGTCAAAATTCAATCAAATTATAATCCAGTGCAGCCAGATTCAATAAATAAATTAAAAACTTCTTAAGAGGCTGGGAGTTGGCGCTGGTCTTCGCCAAGTTGTGCCTTTGGAGTTTTGGTTATTATTATTATTATTTTTAAAGTGAGCTGACAGGAAATTGGGTAGAAGGAGAGTCGGGAAGACATGCAGCAAAGGTCAACAGGCCAGGACTTGAACCCGTGATGGGCTGCCTCGAGAACCAAGAACTTCATGCGTGGGTTGCATGCTCTACCCCGGTGCCACCATCGCGCCCAGTTTTGGTTATTTATACCAAACATTTTGGGTACGAAGTAGCTCTGTCTGCCACGTGACCTTTCAGGCTGAAAATTTGTCCATTGGTAACACAGGTTGGATTTGTATGCATGTTCACAATATGAAGTAGCTTCCTGTATTCTACTCATAGTTTACTGTAATGTTTTATGGTTTATTCTTTCATATTTTAAGCTGTTGGGTGAATACAAATAGTAATTATAATCAAAATAAATGAAAAGAGGGTTTAATACAAACTTTTCAAACAACTGGTACATTAAAATTTAAAATTGTTTTCAATCAACCAGAAAGTTTCTGATAGGAACTGAGACGGACATCTCTCAAAAGTTAAGAAAACAATGTTAAAGGAGTGTCAATTTTAAAAATAAAAATCTGTTAATATTTACATTTTAGTAAAGGAACATTGCATGTGGAAAATGATTTCTACATCATGCATGACTGGGATTTTTGTGTGTTTTTTAACTGGAATCAAATTATTTATAAAATAAATTTAGGCTAAATCTTTCCAAGAGAGACAGTTGAATCCAATGACGTGGCCATGTTTTTAGGAATAAATCAATATTCAAATCATTCTCATAAGGTCTACCATGAGGGCATGGTTCCTAGGAACCCTGAGGCAGTCTTCAGGTCTTGATCTTGGAGGTGGAACTAATTTGTGTGTATAGCCACAAAAGGACCTTGAAGCTCTGCTGATGTGTCGACCTGCTTCAGAAAATCTGTATTTTTCTCAAATATTTTGCTCTAAAATAATAATTCTCCTTTTCTCTATCAACTACAGTGTGCAAACTACTTAAAATATAAGGTGCTGACAGAACAACTAATCTTAAGAACTCTCTTTTCACACATTTGTTCTGAATAATGATCTGTATGACCTTTAATTATTTTGTCAGAAAATATTCTGGTGAAGGCTTGCTCTCTTTCTTCCTCTATGAATGAATAAAGCCACACTGTAAAAAATAGAATTGTTGAGATTGAAGAACTCAAGCAGAAGACACCTATCCTTAAGTTTAAAAATGTAAAACCTATTAAAAAAAACTTTTCTAAGCTTTTGTATTTCCTTTTCCCTAATATAATGTTCCAAACACCATTCTTAAATAGTTTTCTTCACATTTGCCCAAGTGAAAGAATTACGTCTTTATTAAGTTGTGCTTCAAAGGGGAGATATTATTAAATCTTAGAGACACAAAGCTCAAAGATCCTAAAAATAAAAGTCAAAATCACCCTGTTGTTTTGAATGGAGATAACTAATTTGAAAATACATTTTTTTGACACAAAAAGAGCCTATAGAGACACACCCCTATATAACAGAAAAAAAAGTATTAGCTTATATGGATGATGACAGTGTATGTAACACCAGAGAGCAGCTGCCACTTGTTTAAAAAGAAAATAAATTGTTCTTCCAGAAAAAAAAAAAGTTTTTTCTATAATATGTCAGATGGATGTGTTGGCAGCTTATTGGCAACTCATAAAAAAGGACAGAGTGAGCATTCTTGCTTTCCTTGGTGCAGGGAAGTAGGTGAGATCCCTGAAATTAAATAGGTGGAGAGTGTGGATTTTTCTTCACCATCAAAACACTTTTTGAACCCAGTGCTGAATGAAGAGGGTACAGCACAGTTGGTGATGACGGATAGCTCTTAGAGTCGGCAGCCAGACCATCGAGGCTAGTGCAAGTTTTGGTGATGAGTACAAAGTTTCTCAGGTAGAGTTGCTTTACTATCTTGTTGTTCTCTGTCAGTACAAAATGCCTGTTGATGTCTACACATCGCTTTTTTCATTAAATCAGTAACCAAGTCTTCTGTTGGAAAAAGGTTCGACCTGGTTTGACCCATGATAATCAGTTGCAGCAGTGACTCATTCTTAAGGTTCAGTTATACAAAGTACTGCAGTGACACAGACAAAAACTAAACAGTACTAGTCAGAAATTAGATCTACTTTAATGGTCTGTTAGGTCTATTGCCTCAGACATTTCTCTGGACCTATTCTCTACACTGGGCAAGTTGCAATATAAATCCTCACCTTATTAACTCACATTTGAGCTGTAGACTTTTCTATCATCACCTTCATAGTGAGGAGCAGATGTTTGGGTGCCACATCAATGCCAAAATTATAACTTTTTTAAAAATAATATAATTCCTGGGTAACTTTTGGCTGCCTTCTTGGCTGTCTTAAGCCTTTGGACACATATCTAGTCTGAACACAACTGGAAAGGAAAAAGTTATATAAACAAAAATTTATAGCCTTTAAGTTTTTCTGCTTTGAAATAATTATCTAAAGCCGAGTCATCTTAATCAGTTTGAATCATTTGAAGACCATCTTCTCTTTTCTGGAATGAGGTAAACACTGCAATAACTGTGAACACTCATCCCTTATCTGAAAGGTTGTTGGTTCAATCCTTAACCCTGGCCTTTCCATTTAGCAGGTTGGCATTTTCATTTTAAGTGTGACACATTAAACCCCAGTTTCTCCCTCTTCTTAAATGATTCTGGCTGCTGCTGATTAAAGCTGGTATTTCATCCTCTATAAGTCATTTTCTGAGCGCTCAGCTGGAAGAGGGAAACCCTTTTACAGCACTCAGTCACTGCGAAAATGATGAGTCACAAACATAATGACAGAGCCATTCGGAACGATATATGTTTGATATCTGTCATTGGACAGTGCAAGAAGATGGTATTCACACATTCGTACGTTATGTAAGATTCAGATTGCTTGACATTTATTACTATTTTTAAACAATATGCATTGTTTTGTTAGATTAATTTTCTTTGTTGCTGTGTGAACAAAAAATATGGCAAAAAAGGTGAAAGAAAAATAAAATAAAAAAACTCCTTGGGATTTATAAAAAAAAAAGTGCAATGAGAGGTTTGACTTAAAAGTTTTTATTTAATTGATTTTTTTACTGTAGCATATTGAGATTTTCTGTAAATGTAAAGTGCTTTATAAATAAAATTTCCCATTATATGTCTATATGATATTTATTGATCTATTCTTGCCTCACAACTGGCATGTTATTGCACTGCTTATGCTTTTAGAGGATATAGTTCACGTTATGTGCTTTATTTTACATTATAGGAATTTTTGAATTTAATTCAATATGTGCTTTGAGGAACCTGCAACTGGGTACCTCCAATTTGCATTAATGCACAGATATTAATTTACACTATCTCCAGGTTTGGAACATGTGAATAAATGATTTGTCATACATTAGTATAGTTTGTGCCAATATGTACTGAAACACATGTAATAGAGAAGAATGTCAACAATTTAAATTTGCTGACAAAAAATAAAATAAAAGAAAAAGGAGAATAAAACACTTCAAATAATCACAGTAATTGGTGGTGGTATTTCTCATGTTTGAGGATAAATATTGAAGAGGGCAGGCAAATGGGTGCTATAAGGAGATTTCATCATAATTCAAGAAGAACCATAAGGAAGCCCAGATCAGGAATGACATTAAAATCCTGCTGAGAACAAAGAGTCCAAAGAACTTATTGGTGACAAGGAAACCTGGTGAGTGCAATCAACGGAATGAATGGCAGCTGAGCAGTTAGCAAGGCTAAGGAGCTGAAGAGACAGGGCAATATAAAAAAGACTGATTGGGTAAAAACGATAACAAGGAACCAACCAAACTCAAATGCACACCAAGAAAACACAGATGAACACCAAGAGAGAGGAACCACTCCAAACACAAACCCCACAACATGACAGTATTGGGTTCTGCTTAGAAAGTTAGAATACCAGAACCGCTCTACCATAACGTCTTGCAACTGTTAGCTTCTTTGGTTTTTACAAAATAAATGTGGGTTCTTCAAATTAATATTTAGCCTTTTCATCTGTGTTTTTGCTCGTTCAGCATAATAAACAAAAAGGTGGCAGCATTTAACAAGTGACAAGTGGGCTCTTGAAGAGACCTTTAAGTGTCTCAATTTTCGTTTAATTGCTGCGTTTTACTTTTTGCTGGCAGTTATGTAAGCGTCAAAGTGTTTCATGCACACTGTTATTTTTGGAAGAAATTATCTTATCCTGTTTATCTGTGGGCTGCACGGTGGTGCAGTTGGTAGCACTGTTTTCTTGCAGGAAGAAGGTCCTGGGTTCAACTCCCCACAGTCCAAAGACATGCCTGTTAGGTTAATTGGTCTCTCTAAATTGCCCTTAGGTGTGTGAATGAGTGTGTGCATGGTTGTTTGTGTGTTGCCCTGCGATGGACTGGCGACCTGTCCAGGGAGTACCCAGCCTCTCGCCTGTAGGCTGCTGGAGATAGGCACCAGCTTCCCCGTACCCCACTATGGAAGAAGTGGTATAGAAAATGATTGACTACTTAACTGTTTGTTTTCCAAAGGCCATACAAATCCTGCTACAGTGCATATAATCATGAACTCTTTGAATTACCATGGTTTTAAATTTACATTAGCATTCACTAATGTGTGCATTTATGGAGGACCAAACACAGACACGAGGTAGGCACAATATTGTGAAAAGTTGTAGATGAATAAAAAAATTGAACGAAAACCCAGAGGTATAAAACTGAAAAAACAAAGGCAGAAAACATGAACAGAAGGGACCAGAAGGGATGAAAAAAATAGTAGAAAAAAACTGGAGAATTCGACATTAGTGGATAAAAGGAAGCATAACTGGGAGTGAAGATTACCAGGATGGTCTAAGATCTCTTTCTACAGATAACACAACCTTTTAGAATGCCTTTGTAGAAGATGCTGTTCTCCTGGCAAACGGAGGTTGTATAAAGCGTTAACAGAAGGGAAACCTATAAATGCACCTAAATAAAGGTTTTCCATGTGAGATTATTCTACTACAAGAAAAGATTCATTTATTTTAACACTTTTTGCACATTCTTACCAAAAGTGCCAGTGAATGTGGGGGGTTGTGTATGTTCAAGTACAAACTTGAACCATTGGAATCTGTATGAAATTAGAATTTTGAAGCTGAAATTCAAGAAAGGTCTGGATAAATATACTGTGGTTATAAACATGGCTTCACAGCAACAAGATTTCAGATTTGAATCTGGGCTTGGGCGTTTCTGTGTTCATGGTTCCTCACATTCTTGTTTGATCCAAAGCTTTAATTATTCCATATTTTCCAGTTGTCCATTACTCAGTGGTTCATTAATTTCCCATTTTACTATTATTATTATTTTTCCTTTGTTCAATAATTTTGTGAGTTTAGTGAGTGGTGGAGAATTTCATTAGCTGATATAATTGACTGTAACGTTTTCATCAGTCAGTCAGTCATTTTCTACTGCTTCTTCCATAGTGGGTCGTGGGGAAATTGGGGCTTTTCTCCAGCAGTCTATGGCAGGAGGCGGGGTACACCCTGGATAGGTCGCCAGTCCATCACAGGGCACACACAGGACAAAGAACCACACACACACTAATTCACGTCTGAGGGCAATTTGGAGAAACCGTTTGCAGCTCATTGCGCACGGTGGCGCAATGGGCTGCACGGTGGCGCAGTTGGTAGCACTGTTGCCTTGCAGCAAGAAGGTCCTGGGGTTGATTCCCAGCCTGGGGTCTTTCTGCATGGAGTTTGCATGTTCTCCCCATGCATGCGTGGGTTCTCACCAGGTACTCCGGCTTCCTCCCACAGTCCAAAGACATGCCTGTTAGGTTAATTGGAAGCTCTAAATTGCCCTTAGGTGTATGAGTGTGTGTGTGTGGTTGTTTGTGTGTTGCCCTGCGATGGACTGGTGACCTGTCCAGGGTGGACCCTGCCTCTCGCCCATAGACTGCTGGAGATAGGCACCAGCTCCCCCGCGACCCACTATGGAATAAGCGGTAGAAAATGATTGACTGACGTTTAACCTAACAGTCATGTTTTTGGACTGTGGGAGAAAGCCGGAGTACCCGGGGAGAACCCACACATGCACGGGGAGAACATGCAAACTCCATGCAGAAAGCCAGGGCCTATTTTGCTGCAAGGCAACAGTACTACTGACTGCACCACCATGCTGCCCATGCAGTTTTTCATATTTTAGTTAATAAATTCATGCACATAAAGAGAAGTATTTAGTTCTTTTTTGTGTAAAAGTGATTTGCTCTCCAAAGGCCTGTTCTTGTATATCCCTAATTGGTTAGCTGTCTGATAATACAGCCACGTTTTGGTGACTTTGGTTAAAAGTTAATCATTATTATTTCCAATTATTAATTGTAATTATTATAATTATATTAAAAAACTCAAAACTCATGAGTCCCTTTACTGACTCTGGAGTCATAATCTATTGTCTCTATTAAATTATTCCCCGATTCTTCTCTGCTTCTTGCTAGCTGCCCAGCTTCAACAAGAACTTCCACAATATGCAACTGTGCAACTGCTATTGTAACTGTATTCAAATTGATATTTGAACTTAACTGCTGTATTAGTAAGTAAACTCATTCAGGTTTCCCTCCCTGCAGTGAGCTGTGAATAATAGAATTGCTCAGTAGCCTGGCATCACCCACAAAAAGGAAGACCCACAGATTCGAGGACTCATTAGTTCAGAAACCTAACAGAACAGAAGAATCATTTAGTTGACAACTCAGTTCAGCCCAATAACCCCCTAATTCACTTCCAGTACAGCAGCTCACTCATTCACTCTTCAGCTTATATGGCTATTTGTTGCTCTTCTTACTTGAGTTATGCCCCCTAACACCCTTATTTTCCCATTGCAGCGTAGAAACAGATGATTCGCCATTCATGTGATGTTTGCACTGAATAAAAATATTTAGCCAGTTTTGTGATTTTGTGATTTCTTCCTGCAACTGCTTGCATTGTCCTCACTAATCACATCTGGGTTGCACCTTTTCATTGCCTTACTTATTGACATAAATAATTATTAAATAATTAGATTTTTTTGCCAGATGCAGCAACAACATTATCACAAGAGATCTGCATCAATGATTTATTTTATGAATTTTGTCACCATGACCGGCAGTTTGCTTTTTGTGCGAGGAAAGAGACGAGGCTCAGGATGCAGTTTGAGATGGCGTTTATTCCAAACTGCCGATCACATGTTCAACACACCCCGTTGTGATTACAGAAGCTGGCTTTCTACCTTAAGGTAGTTCCAACTGATACCAGCTGAAGGGGTGACAAAATAAAACAAGAAACAATACACCACAATAATTCACCCCACCTAACACAAACCATAAATAATATTAATACACATTACATACATGCAAATCATTAGACTTAAACTAATCTACAATCAATCTAAATTTAACTTAACCTAACTCTGCAGAGCATTTCCCTTCCTAGTTGATAATGGTATGCTCCACTCCACCCAGGAGAAATACCTGTCGTGAGACTCAACAATTAATGTGACATTTCCCCACATTCCTCCTGTCACAGAAAGATGGCCAGTCCCTCTGCCTGAAAGAATGTTTTAACTAATGTCCCTATAAATGAAATGAACTAAACAAACAGCATTTATTCTATACACACATATAATATCAATACATAGTATCAATAAATAACATCAATAATCACTTATGGGGATGGAGCCCCTAATCTCCATCACAAATTCTATTTTATGAATCAGTGGAGATAGATATTGGGAAGAACTTTTGTTACAATCAACTTTGTGACTCAAAAACCTGACTGAGTTTCAGGAGTGACTCACAATAACTCAAGTCAGTAAAAATATTTGAAACTTGACATCACTACTGATCTTTGTTGTGAGTGTGAATCATTTTTTGCCCTGTGTTTAACTTGGCTTTGCCTGGTGACCTGTCCAGGGTGTAACCTGCAATCACCTCTCCATTACTCTTTGTTAAAATGTAAAAACACTGTAGTTGCTATGAGGCTATGTACTGCAGAATACAAATCAAATGCTCACACCTTATTTCCAGACCCCTTGCCTTTCTTTTAGACATTTTTCTTTTTGTCATTTACAAGTGACTTACAAGTTAGACAGAAAGGTTCAGCTGCCATCAGAGGCTGAAATGACCATTAAAAGGCAGTTTTGTGAGATTCACAGCCATAATACATTGAAAATTGCCTGCAATTGCAGAGAGCCAACCTGTAGCAAACTGTGCAGATAACTAAGCTTTCAGACGGCTTGGTTCATTTTGTCCAGCAGCACTGAAAGGCATGAGCATTTCTCAAACAAAAGCAGCCTATAAACAGAGCAACAGGCAAGTAGAAATGTTACACTGAGTACACTGAGATGTCTACAATGTGCACCAATGCACTACAGCGTAGAGCTCCAGAAAATGGAAAAACCCGTAATTGAACTTTTTGTTCACATAATTGTAATTCAGAGGCCAAATGTGTGATTATACATAACTTTTAAAATGGAAAAAGGAGTCAGGTGTAACAATAAAGCCATCTCCTTGACAACTAAGTGAATGTCAAATGCTTACAAAGACCCCGGGTTGAAAACTACAGAAAAAAAATCAAAGAAAGTGAACTTCAGGTCAGGATTGTTTTGTCAGAGGGAACAAAAAGAGGAACTACTTACATCTAACTCACCCTCTGTTACACAAGGTTTGACCATTATTCTTTAATCTTTAAAGCAGTTCCCTGTGAGATCTTCCAGGATGATAACAATGAGCCTGTAGATAAAGGCAGATAAAACCCAACACAAATAAAACAGCATTCAGGGCAGTTTAAGTAACAGAGATTTCCATGTCATTACCCAACAAAGACACTACTGAATCAACTCATCAACTTCTACTTCATACCTTTTATCTAATGCACCAATTCACACCCTGTTTGTTACATTCCTTTTAAGCCTTTTTCAGCCTGTTGCTGATGATCCTATTGTACAAGTAAACTGTTGTGATCTAAGTGTAGAGTCCTGTTAGGTTCAAGTGTTGGGTCCTCACCAGGTGCCTGGCCAATCTCCTGGTTGAAATTATAACAGCCTATTTGCCATGTGGCTGCTGGTGGCAGCTTGTGGTTTCAATTGAATTTTATCTCAGCGGCCAGCTATTTGCAGATCATTACACAGGGACTGTGAGCCCCAGATTGCCGCTGGAGTGCTGTCAGGCATGTGTTGGTTTGTTTGCTTGTTCATTTACTTATGCTATTCAAATTTCAAAGCCACTGCTGGTCGGTTTTGTATAGTAGCAAATTTATTCGGGGTGGTCACAGTAGGACAGAGTAAGTGAAAGGGAGA